ATAGTTTGGTAACAATTCGTTTGATTCTCTGTGGAGTAATTGGAGTAGTTGGAGTAGTTGAAAAATATAAATATTTATATAAAATGTTGATAATTTTACAGCGATGTGCTTTGTTACCCTATGAATAAACATTGATATGAAGTTGCTTTCGCCAGAAACAATTATAATTAAATAATTTAATAAAAATTTAATTTCTAAGTGACCCGGATCAGTTAGATCAGTAAAATAAATTGAAAAATAAACGTCATTCCATATCTGGCAATGTCTGTCAGTTTCTGTGAAGTGGAAGTGAATTGTGATTTGTTTTTATGGGAATATTTACGGATTTTTGCGAATTTAGAGTATTTTGGACGATAGGATTGTGAAATTTAAAAGCCAAGTAGTTTCATATATAAGATTAATTAATCCCTGTGATAATTTTTATGAAATTTCTCATAATCAAAACAAATTCTTTCAACAAAATGGCTGTCTCAGAAATTTGGAAGATCATTAATTTTAAAGTTTTATTTAGTGTATTTATATCGAATCAAGAATTTGTATAACATATTAAAAGCTTAATTTTAAAGGTTGTGCAGTAATTTATGTAAGTGTACGCTTTTAGATAAATATTAAATATACAAATTTGCAAAGACAAACAAGTAATTTTAAAAAGATCATTTATTTATTTAAACGAGTATAATCATTAATCATTAGGTTGAAAATATATTTGTATTTACTTATTTATATATTTTCTATACCCTTGTATTATTTATAAGCCCTATATGTCCTGTTTTATTTGAAAAAAAAATGCTTCGAGTCATCGAGAATAGATTTAATAACAATTTTGTCCCTTGGCTTTGTGTATTATATAATGTGAATTGTAAGATGTTTCTATTTGAATAGGTCATTAAAGTTGAGATTAAAGTTATACCAAATTATATTCACGGTAACTATATGTCTTTTATATAATGAATTATTTATTTATAATTTATAACCTTTTTTATAATTACTTATAACTGATTGTATAAATTCTGATAACTTTTATATATACTTGTATAGTGTTGAATGTGTTATTATGTAATTTTAACAATGTTATAATAAAATAATAAAGTTACAGATTTTTCGTGTTTTATTCTAATTTCAGGGATAATTTCAACCTAGATTATTAATTTATTTGTATCAAAATACATTACTTTTATTTTGTAAAATGTTTTGTTACAAATAAATTCATAATCTAGATTGAAATTACCAAATATAAGTAAAAAACTTATGAACTGGCAGTAAAGGTCCATTTAAAAATATGGCGCGAACTTTTAGTTCTGCCAGTAGCCCGCTTGGATCGCGTCGAGCGCGTGTTTCCAGGCTTTAACATAGGAGTTTTCATTTCTTTCAGTTAGTTATTCTATGGTGGAAACCGGCCCGGGAATAACAGGCAACCGGCCCAAATCCACAAAAACAAAATGACCATAACGAAGAAACATATTTTATTTATTAATATACAGGGTGTCCCAGAAATAAGTGCAAGTATTTTAACTGGAAGTATATTTTGGCTTCAGAAACACGCCTACCTATCAGTTTTTTTTGCGAAAATTTGGAATTTTTTGAAGAAATTTTTGAATTTTTTTTAGTTTTAAGTTAAGAAAACATAATTTCTTGATAATCTCTCAACATAGGTAGTAGATTAAATTTACATGAAAATACAGAAAAGATCCAGTAGTTCTCAAAATTTAAGCAAAAAAGCGTTTTTGTTTAAATTTTCAAAGTAAAATAAATCGGTTATTTTGGACTTACTTAAAAAACGGTAAAGAGAAAAAATGTTTCTTTTCACCAAATCTGCCCCTCCTAAAATACTTGCACTTATTTCTGGGACACCCTGGGTAAGGTCAAATCACCCCAAGTAAGGGTGATTTTTGCTCGGGCGAAAAAATCTCTTTTGCCTCCAATTTTTTAAAAATATTGAAATTGTCTTGATCAAAATTTTTATAAAGATCAATATCGGATCGGACATCTCAATTTTTGCTATATAGCTCAGTTTCACAGGGTTCTACTGTTTTATTTCCATTATCGATAACGGTAATTTGATCTTGAATATATGTTACGATTTTCAATCACGGTTTTGAAAAACTTTAAGACTTCCTGATTCATTCAGTTCAGCTGGCCCAATCCTCTGTGAAATACATTATTTTTAACTTTTCAGGTATATACTTTCTTACAGATTTAGAAATTCTCTCTTTTCTGATACAGCAGTAGCCTCGTCATGTATACGTGTTTTAATTTTGGTATAATTCTCATTGCGTAACTTTTCCTAGTTTCTACATTTGATATTTTGTATAATAATGCCACGACTGAAACGAAAAAAAACTTGGCAATACCTAAGCAGTGGATATAAATGTGTTTTAATAAAAGAATAGTGGTAAAACTATACAGAATGAGTCTTAAATAAGTGCAAATATTTTCAGGGCTGGTTCGACCCAAAGAACACGTCTATGAATTTTTTTTTGTAAAAAAAGATGTTGAATATCGTGTTTTTTCTTTTAAACTTTCCTGTATATTTTAGAAAAATTTTTAGAACTTCCTTTTCACCGCAAATTTTCCCACGGTATAGTTTCTTAATCTTTGATATTACGGCACAAAAAGAGATGCAAATACAGAAAGATTTAGGTGGTAATTTTTTTTAAAAATAAATCAGTTTTTGTTTAAAAATTCAAACTTTAATAACTCGGTTATTTTGGACTTATTTGAAACACGGTAAAGAGAATATATTATATTTCTTTTATTCATATCTACCAGTCCTGAAAATATTTGCACAAAGCAGCACAAATAAGGTGCACTTATAGACTCACCTTGTATAATAAAACATTGCAAATGGAACAACAAACAACAGATGTTTATTAAAATTATAAGTGTTTCAGAGGAAGACATCTAACAATAGTTATTTCACAAATTGGTGTTTATGTTTAAAAGCAACTAACGATTATGTTGATGCAAATTGATTAGTTAGTTAGGCAGTCACTAAGAATCTTACGTAACTTTAGTGAGAAGATTAACCATTTAATTTTTGCTAAATCAATCTTTTTTGAGCTCTGATCGGGATCGGGACCGGCCCACCGGCCCATCTTCCCATCGGCCCACCGGCCCATTTCCCCACCGGCCCACCGGGAATTTTCCCGTTTTCCCATATGGCCCATCGACCCCTGCAGAAAATACAGCTTACCTGTGAATTAAAATGACAGACTTTATCTATTCAGGGTATATATTTCATGTCCAATTAAACTTTTAGTTACGTAATCGAGGGCGCGATTTTTAAATTCATTGTTGCCAACCATGGACGTATTCGGCGCCGTGCTGACTAACTGGACTTTAAATTTCCCGCTGGGGATTCAGGTGGTAGCTCTGCTGTAAAAAATGTCAAGTTCGTTTATTTATTTATTTCCTGACATTGTCATTCGTTTTGACACTTCAGTTTTGTATTACGAGTTTTTGGTTTAAATAAATAGCGTTGTGAGACTTTAAGCTTGAAAATGTTTACTAGCAGACCTTGCAGTAGAACAATGTTCTTTTTAGAACTTCTTTTAGTCTACAAGATAGCTTAATAGCCGTAAAAAACTAATCGCAACTTTATTAGAATATTTTGAACGGGAAAGCGGTAGTAATGGCCCTTTATGTCCCTTAAATGCTGTTAAAAAGGTGAGTTTTGTTGATGTAAATAATAACTGTTTATATATTTATAATTAATTTATTTTTGTTTCCTAAAATATTTTGATTAAATGAAAATATATAAAAGTGGGCAAGGCTCTGCCGGTCAAGACTCTAAAATTACTATAAATTCTTGAATTAAACTTTTTTAAAATATTTCACATAATCTTTACAGATACATTTAGACAGACAATACAATACAGTCAGTTTTCAGAGGGTGGGAACTCGCCATAACAGTATGTCATGGTCCTTTTGGTTTTCGAAATCAAGTTAAAACAACGGTATTCGACATTGTCTTGTTGCTCTTATACTCAACGATTTTAAGCAAGGACGGGAAAAATCTTTTAAAAAATACAATGAACGAATTTACGCTAGTTAAATTATTATGTATTATTATGTTTCAAAAAAACTTATATTGCTGCAGAAAATGTACAGATTAAATATAAAAAATTGGCGCCGGGAGGCACGTGTAGCCGCCCATACTAACATATGTAAATAATCAATTATCTCAAAAACTGCGACTTTGACTGATTTTGATGTTATTACGAATTTTGTTGCAAATATTATTCCTAATCTTAAATTGAAAACCGCGTTTCGCTAGCTACTGTAATTTTGGAGTTTTTTAAAAATTTTGTTACGATTTTTTTAAATTTTTATCCCTCTCCCATACCCCTTACCAACCCCCCACCCCCACCAAAAACTAACGGCCAGATTCTCGGGTGCCACAGTATTTATGTGCCAAATTTGGTTAAAATCGGTTTAGCGGTTTTTGAGTTATCGTGTTACAGATGGACGGACAGACAGACACCATGAAAATACTTTGTATTTAGGTCATTTAAGACCCAAATAAGCATGATAATGAATATCTTGTAGTTCAGTATATTTAATCTAAAATTGTCCTAAGTAAATAAAATAAATATTATTTTCCCTTTTTGCAGATGAGACACCATCACCGATGGCCCTACATCCTTCTGCCATTGATATTCTGTCTACCCACCCTCCTGGCCACAGCATACCCATCGGCAAAAAACAGACACTACCAAAAACAAATTCACAGACTAGTCGGAGGACACCTCAGAATAATAGACCCAGAATCTGACGACTCGGAGTTAATAACAGCCAGGTATATTTTTCACTACCAATAAATTAATAGTATCCTTGCAACAATTAAGTAAAAGAAAGAAAATCAAAAGGGTAACTATGTTGAAATTAAAGGGATTTTCTTTATTTTTAGTGCTGGTGATAATACCCAAAAGTAAAAAAGGCCACAAGGGTGGAGACGATGAACGAAAGACACTATCTCAACAAGTAGCAGATGTGAAAATATGGACTCATCCAGAAAGAACTGTTCAGGATTCCTCCAAAGAGGCCAGGAATCATTAGTTACTCAGCAAATTCAAAGTATAATAAAATATTATTAAAAATCACTACAAATCTACTGTGAAAACCCCAAAAATATATTATATTATGGACTTTGCTCTTTTAGGTGCCAAAACGACAATATACAAACTTTGGGTGGACTGACCAAGAGTGACATTTGGTTGGCCGAGAATCATTTATTAGTGATAAAAGGTGGTACCCTATCCAGCACATACGATGACACAAAGCAGGAATTTGTGGACCAGATATGGCAACCAATCGATGATTATAATGCACCATTACATCAGGTACATATTATACAGGGTGTTTCGAAAAACATGTGCCATCTCCTCGTGGAGATTCCTCACGTAAAAAAAAAATAACATAGGCCTTCAAAAAACGGCAAGACAAGTTTTGTAAACTTGAATTTTTGATATTAGTTACTTTAAAATATCTAAAATGAATTGTAAAAGATTTTTTTTTAAATTCACCCCCGAGAAGGGGTGAAATAAATAAATAAAATTATTTTTTAGAAATTTCGGAGAAACGGTAAAAACTAGAAAAAAAATCTAATAAAAATTGTGGAGCTTCAAATTTTACATAGAAATGATCTCTATACTTTTTTTGCTCAGATCAAAATTAACCGAGATAGGATTGCCAGAAGCTAGGGGATGATAGTAGAAATTAAAATAAAATATATTTTATAAGTTGCTGAAAAATTCATATATTTAACAATTTTATTGAATTTGCTTGGAAAAATATCTACAACCTTAGAGCAAAATAATACACTAAATTACCACAATACGCCAAAACACTTTTACTTTTAGTAGTGTATAATACCAAAGGTTCAAATCCCGAATCTGTGCCCCAACCAATAGTACCTTAGAGGGTAGAAGCTGTCCCCTAGCTTCTAGCCACCCTATCTCGGTTTATTTTAATTTGAGCAAAAAAGTAGAGAGAAAATAGAGACAACGTATCCCTACGACTGATTCATGTTTCTTTTCCAGGTAAAAATACCCAAGAACCCCAAAATACCGCCGCCCTTTCCTGTCCAGCTCAGCGACGACGGGCCCCTCCAAATCCTGGGCACAAACTCTTCGCGAACGCTTAATGAGACAGCAGAAACGCCGGCCTACGCCCTACCGCCCCCGCCCGGCTGGGACGGGGAAATACCCCCCCAAAGCCAATACTTCCCACCGCAAGCAGGTCAGTACCCCTACAACTCCTTAAAATTAGCGTTATTTTCTAGCAGCTTTCCAGCACCGAGAAGAACTGTTATTTTTAACAGTTTATTATTCAGTCATTATTAAATAACAGTTTATGAAAATAATATACGTTTATAACAGTATGCTATTTTTAAATAACAGTTTTTTCTATTATTTAAAAATAACAGCTTAAAACAAACATTTTAATTAATATGATAGTACATACTCAGTCATATTCACTAAATAACTTCGAGAAAAACTGTTATTATGTTAAAATACCAGTTATTAATAAACATTTTTAAATAAAGGGTATAGCCGGATTAGCCGGATTGTAAGTTAAAAATATTTACTGCGCACTTTTTTAAACTAAACAAAAATATAAGTTAATTAAAACAGAAAATTTTAGAAAAAAATGAGTTTTTAATTTTTTTCATATTGTTCCACCACTTCAAAAAATTCTAAAAAATTCCTGAGTGTAAAGAAGTATAAAAGACATTTTCTGACGATTTAGTGAGTGACTAATTTCACAAAGGTTAAAAAATGAGGATTTAAATTTTCTTTCCTCCGCTAAAAATCGGCTCTTCGTTTAAGAATTATGATCATATTATTTTTTCATATCTGAGACTTCTAAGAATTATAAAAAAATCATCATTAATTAATTTTGAATTTTACTATAAAAATAAAAATAAAATTGAAAAAACAGGGTTTTTGAAAATCTCGAAACCCGTTTTTCCCCAAAAAAGTCGCGGGAACAGATTTCCCATATTAATCCGGCTATACCCTTTCTATTTATTTATGAACATATCATTGATATCATATTAACTAAATAACTTAATTCCTCCTTATAACACTCTTAATCAGGAACTGTAAGCAGAAAAAAAGTGGTGCTGTAAGATTTACAACTGTGTAAAATTGAAATATGGAAAAAATATAGCTCTTTATTCTGTACAGCAAAAAAAAACTACAAAAAAAATATTTTTTTTAGTAATAGATAATTTTGAATTTTTAAAAAATATAAAAAAATTTAGAAATTTTATTTAACTGTTATTTCGTATGTTTAGGCTCTGCCAATACCGATTCGCCCTACATTACTCCCGGGCAAGCTCCGATGCGAGGTTCTGTCTCGGGGGAACCCCCAGGGGGGCTGCCGTTCCCCCCCGCCCCATTGAACGGCAGCTTACCGCCTTATTTCGCGCATTTGCCCCCTGGGGCGGTCGTCCTGCCAGCACCAATAGGTAAGCCTCAATAATTATTATAAATTTTTAGATTTAATTTAGTTATTATAAATAAATAATGACCATTTACTCGAATGCAATAGAACCTGTGTAACTTACTTTTTTAGAACTAAGCTAAACTTCCAAAAGATATGTTAGTCATTGTGAGCAATTCGGCAACGCAGCACCTATCTACGCGCAACCTCCAAGCGCCGGCGCAGTAAAAAGTATTTTTTTTGACTGAGAATCTTTGAATAAGAAGACTAAGTAAGGAGCATATCAAAAATCTTAGGTCCACCGCGATGGGACTCAAATATGCCCGACTTAAATTCCGGTTTATCAGTGCCGTTCTAATTTTATTTAAAAAATGTAAAACTATGATGTAGGGTAGACGTGAGGTAGACTCAATAACTTTTTTTTATTTTACGTTGTGAATAAATGTTGGTAGTTATTAAAATTGTTATAAAAACATATTATTATAATAAAAATAGATAAGTTTTAATAAGTATTTATTAACACTAAAGTCGCTACTAATGCCAAATTGTGCTATACTGCTAATGGCACTAATGCGATCGCTTTGTACACAACAATGCCATCGCGGTTTACATCTCGCATTAGTATATCACTGATTGGCAAATTAGAGGAAACCAAGAATGTTTTTCTCATTTTATCAGCAAAGTCGCAAGTATTTTATTTTACTGTACGAAAGCCCAATGTTTACTAAGTAAAACGTATATAGACAATATGCTGAATACTTCGAAATGCGCAACTAAATCTCTAAGTATAATAAAAATGTCACAAATTTAATCAAATTTTCTGAACGCCTAACTTTTAGTTGCAAAAAAAATCGTTAGTATAGAGAATATCAAAATAAATAATACGTTTTTGTAGAATACATACCTCCCGCTTGAGCCATTTTCAATCAAAACAATAATATAAACGTAAAAAGAGCACAAGAACAACAACAATTTATTTTTAAACATAAAATTTAGCCATTTACCTCTTATCTGTAAGAAGTAACAACTTTGACGTTTCGTTGAAACAAATGAATGCAACTAAACACACCCATAGCAACGCCATTCATGACAGACATGATTTAACTTATCATTTATCTTTTTTTGGAAAATCTTAAACACGTTTGCTTTTTCGAATTTCGATCACCTTTTTCATGCTAATACCCCACCGTGCGGCGCAGTAAAAAGTATTTGTTTTTACTGAGAATATTGTTTTATAGTTGCATAGAGACGGTAGACGCTCTTACAAAATTTTGTTTAAGTTACACTAACTGAATATATTGTATCATTTCATCTTTAGTGTCGCCATGGCTAAACGATGCCTCGATGTCACAAAACAAGATACATGCTTAAACCCTACTTTTAAGAGTTTCTTAAAACTTACCGTCTAACTGCAGCCTAACGAAATATATTTGCTATGGGGGTGGGTTCAAACAATTTACAAGGACACTGAAAAATTTGTTTAAAAATTCTTGTTAACTATAATATTTTGCTAATTTTAATATTTCTAGCTGTTCGAGATAATTTAAGCGCCTGCCTTTTGATTCTCTATGTAGTAATTTAACTGAATTTACTATGTATCAAAACGTTTCCGAAAAAGGCCTAACAAACCTAAAATTACTCTCATTAATCTTGAAACATCTAAAAACGTGGTTTATTAAAATACTAATATTTCAACATTTCAACGATGTTTCACAAAGAACCAACAACAGATTCAGTACTATTTATTAAATAACTATTAATATTTCTGATTGGGTCCAATGTAGGCAACGAAACCGACCCAGGGATACTAGACGAAGAGGACCCGTCAATCTACTATCCGCCGCCCTACAGCTTCTACTACCCTAAGGACAACTCAAGCGTGGTCAGTTACTATACTATTCATCTATCTCTCCTATTTTAATCCCTCACCACTTCGACTAACTTTCTGATAGATTTTAGGCATTAATAACCATTAACAATAGCTAAGTTCTTGCCTCAGAGAAATAAGTAGACGTAGAGGCAACAATTGCAACTTCACTATGATCTGTCCAAGAACATCTAATTTAAGAGTTCATTTCGCTAGTCCGAAAAAGTAGCAAAATAAGCGTTCGGCATTTAACGTTTTATGTCAAACTGGCTAGGTATTTTTACACAAATGAAGAAAGAAATTAAATATAAAGGATTATACTACACACCCCGGAAAAGTCTAGGGATATTACAATTTTATCCAGCCATCGTCAGTAATTTTATTATTTGCATTTCTGATATAATAAAATTAAAATAAACAAATAGTTTACAGGACGTATTGGAAATAAAAATGCGAAATTTACAGCATTTTTCAAATTTTTTTTTACCTTGATTTTATTGAACTCAAAAAAATACACACATTTTTTTATATTCTAAACTGTGAATTAAAAAAAAAGATAAAACCATTTTTACTTAATAAAGGGTATGGCCTCCTCTACTGTTCATTACAGCCCTACATCGTCTCTCCATGCTCCTGATCAGGTTGTCGATCTCTTCTTGAGATACAGCCTGCCACGCTGCATTCACGGCCCGAACCAGATCCCTACGAGTTTCACGAGGCATACCCATTCTCAAAATTCTTCTTTGGACCGCGTCCCATACGTGCTCGATGGGGTTGAGGTCAGGAGATTGTGCCGGCCAGGGTAAGATTAATTGATGAGCATTGATAAACTCACTTACCACTCTGGCTGTATGAGGCCGTGCATTGTCATGCATGAGAATGAAGTTTCTCCCAAAATCAATGGCATATGGTAACACGACAGGCTCAAGAATTAAATCACGATATGTGATTCCTGTTAGAAACCTTTCAAGAAAAACAAGATCGGTTTTTCGGCCTAACTGAACTCCTCCCCAGACCATAACTGTTCCACCTTGATAAGGGTGCACTTCCTGAACATGATCCAACCGAATAAGATTTCCCGGTTCTCTCCATACCCTAAGCCTTCTCGAATCTGGATGAATTCCAAAGCGTGACTCATCCGTGAAAAGAACATTTGCCCATTGTTCATTCGATCACTGAACATGATCTTGAGCCCACAAATATCGTACCTCTCGATTTCTCTCGTTAAGGGTTGAGCTCTCCAGGGGCGTCTGCTTCTTAAGTTAACCTCTCTTAATCTATTGCCAACAGTGTCAGGACTAACGGTTACATTATGTGTTTCCTGGAGAATTAAACTAAGCTATGGTGCTGTAAGAGTCGGTCGGCGTCGAGCATTTAATTGTAAAAAATGATCTTGCTGAGGGGTAGTAATGCGATGTCGCCCTGTGTGCCTTTCAGCAACATCACCACTTTCACGGTAGCGTGCACTTAATCGCGATATTACACTTTGTGTTGTATTTAATGCTCTAGCTATATCGATTTGGCGCATTCCAGCTTCGAGCATACCCATGGCCCTTAGCATTTCGTCTCTGTTAAGATGTCTACGCTCCATAATGTCGTTTAATACTAAACAGAGTTATTTGAATGAATTCTGGCCAATTATCATAAAAACATAGCCAGTACAGGTTAAATTCGAACAATTGATGCTAGGTGCTTTTTATACATTTGACAAAAAATGCACAAACACTTCTACAAATATCCCAAATTTAGAAATAACTAGTGTGACTACTTCGTTTCAATCGAAGTAGAAAGAATCGGCCTACAAATATGTGGTTGTTTATTCAAAACATTTATTTTTAACTTTAATAAAATGATATCCCAAGATTTTTCCGGTGTGTGTATATCCGTATTGTAACACATTTTTAAACAACTTCTTTATTTTTAAGATTTTGATGGTCAAACATCAAAAAAAATATTCCTTATGTTTGGACTAAATTTTCTCGAAAATAAAGACGTAATTTAAACTTCCGTTACAATACCGAAATAGATTGAAGTTTTGTAATTACAGTGATATATAATTTATATGGTTTTGTAACAAATTGCTCGCTATTTTATGGCAAATTCTAAAGCTCTGCAAACCTTAATCAAGCCTTAATCCAAGGACGTGTGTTTGGAATTTTGGGTATGGCTTAACATGACAGGATCGGGCTAAGCTTTAGGCAGATTTCTGAAATATAATATATATTTCCTTCGGCCACACACCCGCTTTACCCGACTCCTGAGAGCGACTCAAACAGTACAGCGTAATAAACTCTTAATGGAAACAAAACTGTTTACATTTTATCCTGATCAAACATCGTTTTCAATAAAAATCGATGATGCCAAATTTATTATGCCAAAATTAAACCAACTGCGTACTAAATATGCGTATAGTTATATCATTTTAGTTAAAATACATATCATAGTTAGTTAAAATACATATATCATACCTTTGAAATTATTTTTAATTTTCTAATTAAAGTAACTTAAAACTTATTAGAGAAGTAACTGTGACAACGTTGCTTCATGAAGACTTTTTTTACGATGTTTTGACTACATATAAGAAAAGTTATGATGGATTCATTCCAGTTATATTTATCAACAGTGTTGCTGGACGGTGTTTATGAATTTTTGTGGTTTCCAAGTAATTTTTACTGTTTTTCGTTGCAAAAAAACTGTTTAAAGTATTTTTAAAATCTTAAGATAGTTCACTAGTACTTAATTTGCAAAAAGGTAGACTATTCTAGTCCCAAATTGACTTATAAATGACTTTACGTATTTTTTTTAGCTTTAACAGCGGCTTGCAAAGATATAAACAAAAACGTCACTACTCATTTCTCTGAGGTTTGTTCTTACACTAATATTAAGTGTTGTAAAATATCTATATAAACCTACTAATAGTTTTTTTTTATCTTGTTTTATGAATTAATATAGTCACCCCTATGGGGTATGAGTACTGTACATTATTGCATGAATAAACTTCTTTTTAGTATATAAAATTTCTTTTATTCTTTCTTTCTAACATTTGTTCTAACCTTTCGTCAGCTATTAGATTAGAAAATTAACTCCAAAATGTCTGGGC